GATATGGGGACTATACCAACCAGTGAGCGAAAGATTAGGGAGGTGATAGAAATCATAGAAGCAGCCAACACCCTGAATAGAAGGAATGAGTGTAGAAAGTTAAGCGGAAACTACTTGTGACTGTTGGATAGGTTTAGAGAGAGAAAAGATAAACTAGAAGAACCACCGAGCAAAAGGAGGAGGCTTGCATTTGATTTTGACTCTCACATCACACTTATTTCAAGAGCAATGCACTCACACAACACGTGTGCAATAGGACCCAATCACATTCGGTAGCATTGCAGGATCAAAGGCATAAATGTTTTAGGGGAGGATTCAGCTGTTTGGTTACATTTCCATCAATTTCACGCTTCATCTGTAGCCACTTCACATGTCATTCGCAGCCACTTAACTTAATTTATGAGCAAGCATAGAGACAAAGCATAAGACATCCAACCAAACATGAGATGCCTGAATGGACCAAATTGGATTATAAGAAGGAAGAAGGTTTGAAGCCGGCCACCTTTCTTGTCTTCGTGTTTTGGTGAATTATCGTTAATCATGGTGTCCTGCTCTGACGATGTCCGTCACATGTTGGACCAAAGTTTAGCAAGGATTCATCGGGGTTACAGCGCGGTGCGCCGAAGACCTATTTACACAAATCTATAACCACAACGCCAATACAACCCCTCCACAGCCTCCAGCGGAACCAACTTACGATTCCCTTCCACTCGCCTCTTCAAACGAAATGAAAGGTACTCCAACAACATTAGATTTGCTCATCCTTGCTTTTTTCGACGATGTTGACTTACATTAGAAATTTGAGCCAAATTTATTATCTGCACTGCTTGATTTCATTCTTTTTATTTTACGCCACTTCCAACTTTAGATTTTATGCTTACCACTGTTTTATTACACGTTGATGAGTAGTAGATACTTTGGGTTGAACAGGTTTCTTTCGCCTCCGTAGAATAATTTATGCTATGGTTAGGCATGAAAAGTAAATTTATATTTATCAAAAGATGTGGGTTCAGAAGAAAAATCAACAATGCTGATGCTGTTTAGGTTTGGTGGTAATGTGCTTGTCTCGTTCTACGTATTCTTTCTTCGGACCCTGCGAGTGTTGCTAGTGAGTCACAGTTTATGTCAGTTTGCTGTATCCTTTCAATAAGCATAGCTTTTTGGGGTTACGTGCATCAAGAGATTCCAATAGAAAACAAGCTTTTTCATTAATCTAGTTGATCTAGAAGAGCTGTCAATCCTTACCACGAAAAATAACGTATTCTCTAAAGATTTACGATTGCTGTTACTTGATGGCTTGCATCTATTTTGAGTTATCTCTGTCGGGCCTTTTCTGCTTTTTGTGAGCCTAGAACTTATCCATTTATCGCATACATTTAGCCTTCGATATAGATTATATTATTCTGGTTTTCACATATTTCTAATTATTTGTAAGTTAGTTATGTTAAGCTTATATTTCAACTAAATGTGGCATTGTTTTAGACCGTGGGTTTATCTAACTTTATAAAAGCTATTTCTCCTATTTAGATACTAAGAGTAACTAGGTTTAGATGAATCTCCTGAGATAATATTGTTGAAGAGACTTTCATTTCATATGGAAGTAAATGAAGAAGGGATTCGAAGATCTATCTCACCAGAAGAGGACGGCTGATTCCAGTTCTACTGCAGCCTTAATACGACGTTTAGGTTGACGCAGTCCACCAGACATCCTCCCTAATTTCGGGTGAAAACGAGCTGGGATTTCGTCCATCATATGCTGTACAGCATCAGAGCTGGAATTCATCTCTGTAAAAGTCTCACGTTATTACTAGGTCAAGAGGACCATTCAGCTCTATCTTACCTTTTATATTTACTCATAAGTAAACAAATGAAAATTGATAGGCATAGATAGATATAGAATGGTTTGGCTAATTATATTTCATATTGGTCCTGATACTTTTGCTCGTGTGTGCGTACGTATATTAACGTATATGCGCCCTAAACTGGCTTCATTGATAAGCAGCAAATGAACAAATAAATTTCCACCAAATATTAGCATACCTGAGCCTAGGCACTAAACATAGTCCATGACCCATTCATCCAGAGCAAATGGGGACGCTCAGATAGCAAGTGTTGTAAAACATTTAGACTGCCTCATTTTTGATACAATAGCCCCTAGACTAGTTGAACATATTTAAGCCGATCTTCTGGCTCTAAGTACTGTCTATTGATATGAACAAGCGCATGCACAAAGTGTCATGTGCTAATGCAGGCAAGCAGGACAACGCATTAAAGTAAGCCTTCGAAGAAGCATTTACAAGTTATTGCTTCAGTCGACATAGTTATCAGCGTATCTTTTTCTTATTGGGTATTCTCAAAAGACTGTCAATATTATGAAACTTTTTGTGTTAAGGTGCAAAACTGGATGCTTTATGATAATTGTACACCAAAAATACACGTAATCCGTTTAGGCTTGTGCTAGCTCTAAGTATGGTACTCGGCTATGAATATATTATTTGTATTCATCCTATCTCGTTGCATTTTTCCTTACTAATTTGAATAGGTCTCATGTCTCTATTGAATTTTACATAGCCATACTTCCCAAATATCATTCTCATCCAAACAGGAGTGGATTGCAGATTATATTCTGCATGGATCTCATCATTATCACTGGCGGGACTCTAACTCTGGTTCCAGTAGTTCAGTGTATAAGCTTGACACGTTACTCACTACACCACACTGCCACGAGTGCCCTTGAGTCGCAGGGAAGAAGTTCATTTAAAGGAAGTATATGTGTTTCCCATATCACATTTCTGTGGTGGGATTGTCGATCAAACAAATTATATTAAAACGATGCAACGATTACAATCGACTATGCTACCTTATAAATATGCCTGCACATGACTAATCTTAGCCTTTGTTCTCCGCATCGTGATTGAGATCACCAAGACCTATTTCTCAAAGAATGACGATCCACTGGACCCTTTCGATTCAACACACAGATTCTTTTATAATTGCTTTACTGTATTCTCGAAACCTTATTTCTAAAAGTAATGCAACGGATGATCTTCATTATATGTTAATGACTACTGAGAAAACATGAGGATTAAAATAGTTTCAATTTTCAACTGTAGGAGGCAATGGAATAGGCCAAAATTTTACGTAAAGTGATGGTTTTGACTAGCTCCAGAGAGATGGAATTATATTTATCAGGCAACCTGGCGAAACGATTCAGTTGATACTGACAACTTCCGATAGTTATATACAAAGTTATTGGCCGTATTGTGACCTGCATCGACCGATTGGTACTACGGTTTACATCATTGTAAGCTCTCACAATCATGGCAGATGCTTCAAGTAAAATGCAGTTCTCTTCTAAAATTAATTGCTATTATCAAGGACCGAGTTAAAAATGAAACACTATGGGATGAAAATATCAACACTTGTTGGAAGGAGGTAGTGTGTACAAAGCGTGATATATCTTTGCCGAGTTCACTTTGTTTATACCTTTAGGATAATTATGCATAATTTTCATCTTTATTCTTGCTAATCTGTATTAATCCAGACTAGCTACTCCTTTGGGTGTGAGCAGATGGCTTAGTCTAATGGGGAATTCCCTCATGCTACCATAGAGTTATGAAATTAGCCAGTTTTCGAACATCGATGTTGCAATGGCCTTACATTTTACCGGTAGTCTTGACTTGACATTTTAATGAATTACATTATTTTTGTTCAGTGTGACATACACTGCACGAATTGTATATCTTAATTTATTTTAATTATACTATAAATCCTGAAGGAGTGTTCTAATCCAATTAGGGCTGCTGTTTCAACCTCGTCTCGATCGTATCAGTACTTCTATCGGGCTTTGTTTATTGGATGCGCATGTTTAGAGCCATGTACTTTGCCCCTTAAGTTTCATGAAAGATATGGCTTTATAGGAGAAGCATGTCCAATCATTTCACATCTTTCGTGGGAAGTTTTGCATCTACAGGCAATCTTATTTTCCTTCTGATTACTCTACTGTTTGTTTCCTTTTTATTGTCTGCCTTCTGAATTGTTTATTTTCCACTTTTTACAGGTGCACCTCTCCTCTCCGCCCTTCGTCATCAGATTCCGGTTCATTGGCCTCATCCACCTTGGCTCCTCACTAAGTACATGTGCTGGAGTCTGGCTGACTTGTGTGCACTTAGCGGCCTCGGATTCAACACATCCTCCATGGCTAGCAGGACAGGAATCGTGCTCAGATCAAGCAACAGACAACCTGGTACTGCCTCCAAGGAGGAGCTCGGATCGAATCCGATCAAGAAGCCCATTGGCAGTGGTGTCACTGGGGTTAACGAGTTCTCTGCGCGCTTGCGTTCTGCACTTGAGCCCTGTCTGTCGCATGTGGCCAGCTGCACACGCTGTCTGGCCCGTGGAGACATCTGCGAGCTCTGTCGGTCTAGTCGTCTTCTCTATCCTTTTACTACGCCGCCGTCCTACATTACTACCGGTTTCACTGCCGGATCCTCGCCAACTGCAACTGCAAACGGCACTTCTGTCTTGCGCACTGGAGGAGGCCACTTGAATTTCAGTCGGGGATTTTCGGGTGTGGTCATTTGCCCTGTCTGTGGTGCTTGCTACCATGGCGAGTGTGTGGCAGCAAAAATGCAGACTGGCAATCAGGCTTTCTGGTGTCCAAGATGCCAACGCCGAAAGAAGCGCCAGTTGTGCCGGCTGCAGCAGATGGAGGAAGAAAATGAATCTGAGCAAGACGGAGCTGAAAACGATAAACGAGACCAGGAATTGGAAATGAATTTAGGAACGACTAAAGTGGGCGAAGACTTTGAAGTGCCGTTTGAGGAGATGATGTCGACTTACGAGAAGAGCTTTGCCTCTCTTAGCAAAGCTGAATCAGATTGCCTCATGCTGAATGATCAATTTAATTCTCGTTAGTGATAATCTTCCTTCTATATATTAGCTTCTGGTCTACCTAAGATTTATTCACTATTATTATTTGTATGAGCCCTAGATACCTTTTGAAGAGACTATAAGATTACCACTCGGTGTTGAATACCAGCCAGGATCAGCAGGTCGCTTAAGGTGTTGCCAGACACGATATTTGAATTTCCTGAAGTGAAATAAGTAGGAAGTCTTACTATTTTGCCATATTTCTCTAAGCCATTTCTGATGATATAACTTTTTTGAAGGCAATGTGAGAGAAATTGTAGAAAAAGGCAGAGCAAGTAAAATTAAGTGCTATCATTTGGACTTTATTCTTTTTAGTGTAGAAAATCAAATTGT